AGGCGGGGGCTTTGCCGGGGGCTGGACTCCGCAGGTACCGGGGGCCCCGGGAAGGAGTGGAGGTCGGGGGAGGGCTACGGGCTGCTCGGTTGGGAGTGGGGGAGCGGCGGCGGAGGGTAGCGGGCTGAAGGGGGGCTGAGGGAAGGGTCCCCCAGTGAGCGGGTCAGAGGGGAGGACCGCTGGCTTCCGGGGTGGCTGGTGGGGGGCGTTCTGGAGTCGGGGTGCAGAGGGTGGGGCTAATGGCTAAGCGTGGGGGGGGCCTGAGCGGAGGGCTTCCTGCTGGTCCGGTGGGGCCGGCTTTGGGGGCCAGAGGAGAGGACGACTGGCTGCGGGGGTGGGGAGGACGGGACGGGACGGGACGGGCGGGCCCCACCCCCGGGGCCGAGACGGGAGGGGAGGGCTAACGGCTGCTGCGTGTGGCGGGAGGAAGGGGGAGCTACTCCTGGCTGAGGCGGGGGTCGATGGGGAGGACTCCCGGGCGCGGGTGCGGTAGGCGTTAGGGGAGCTCCCGGCGGGGCGGGGCGTGGGGTGGGGGGGGAGGACGCTCGTGGCAGTTAGGGGGCTCCGGCTCCCGGGTGGGCGGGGGCAAGACGGGTGGGCTCTGCGTCTGGGGTACGAGAAGCGAGAGCCCCTGGCGCTGAGTGTGCTCGGGGGAGGACTCCCCGGTGTGGGGAGGTGAGAGAGGCAGTCTGACCTCTACGCATGGCGGGGCGCCCGGCTTCCAGGGCCCAGAGCGGAGCGCCACCAGCTGGTGGGTGGGGGAGGGTGTATGGAGGGGATGTAGTGCGAGGGGTCGGGGAGGAGCCGCCTGGCCACGGGGGGGCGTAAGTGAAGCTGAGAGGGGGAGGCGCTGGGGCTGCTGTGATCTGGTGGAGGCTGTTGGCCATGGCAGATGGATTTGTGGGGGTCCAGGGAGGGGCTCTGGCCCACTGCATGAGGCATCGAGAGCTTCAGGTCGCCTCTGTCCGGGTGGCACAGGAATTGCAGAGGTGGGTGGGCAGGGCAAGGCCCTGGCCTCCACACACAGTACACAGATTCTTTACGAGGGTGCTTTGCACATTCACCCGGACACGCCATACCAGAGTTGTAAAACAGTCTCCATAAATTTAGCAGTATTGCAAGTTCACATGATAAGTTTTCTCATCACGGGGGAATTTTATTTGATGGTACTAATGATAATATATCTTCAAATATTGGGAAACCCATGGATCAAAGAGAAAAATCACAGAGGGACTTAGAAAATATTTCCAAGTGAATACTAAAAAAGCACAACTTACCAAACTTAGTGGGAGGCAGCAAAAAGCGACAGGAGGAAACTGTATTCCTCTAAATGCTTCTGTTAGAAAAGAGTCAGGACATAAAATCAGTGAGCTAACAGTCCATTGAGAGATGCTAGAAGAAGAAGAGCAAAGGAAACATAAAATGAAGTAATAAGAGAGCTAAGAGAGGAAATCAGTGATAGAAAGCAAATTATGGACACGGTGAACGAAGCCACGCGCTTCTTTCAAAAGAGCAAGGAAACCGAGCAAGTCCTAGAACGATGAATCACGGAAACATAGAAAGAACGCTGATCCCCAATATGAGGAATGAAAGAGGGCCAACGTTACGGATCAGATGTACATTAACAAAGAGGATATAGGGGAATATTATGGGACATTATGGAAATGTTTATGCTAACAAATTGGAAGACTTGAAAAATTCCTTGGGAAAAAGGCAGCTTCCTAAAACTGAGGCCAGAAATGTAGAAAAGGTGACGAGCCTTCTATCTGTCTTTTTTAAAAAAATTATTTTATTTTATTATTGTTTCTTGAGTCGTACGCAACAAGTGCTCTTTTGTTATTATTTTTAAATTTTATTTTTACTTTGGGCTGCGTTGGGTCTTTGTTGCTGCGCGCGGGCTTTCTCTAGGTGCAGCGAGCGGGGGCTACTCTTCGTTGCGGTGCGCAGGCCTCTCATTACGGTGGCTTCTCTTGTTGCAGAGCACGGGCTCCAGGCATGTGGGCTTCAGAGGTTGTGTCACGTGGACTCAGTAGTTGTGGCTCGTGGGCTCTAGAGCGCTGGGTCAGTGGTTGTGGCGCGTGGGGTTAGTTGCTCCGCGGCTTGTGGGATCTTCCCGGACCAGGGATCGAACCTGTGTCCCCTGCACTGGCAGGTGGATTCTTAACCACTGCGCCACCAGGGAAGTCCCTAGCCTTCTATCTTGTAAATAAATGTAATTTATAAAAAAAGTTTCCTAAAGTCAAACAAACCAAACAGGGCAGGGAGGTGCTCCAGGCTGCTGCTGTGAGGGGCACTAGGGTGGGCTGTGTGGCACAAACGTGATTCTCTCCTCTTTGCACCCACAGGCCGATTCCCACACTTCAACAGCCTGTGCACCCCTGTTTGATCGCTTCCCCCCACCCTCAGGTCCTTGAAGATGGCGATGGCTCTGGCGGTATTGCGGGACTGGTGCAGGTCGATGGGCGTGAACGCTCAGCGATCTCTGCTCATCCTGGGAATCCCAGATGACTGCAAAGACCAGGAATTCCAGGAGGCTGTGCAGGCTGCCCTGCGTTCCCTGGGCAGGTACCGAGTGCTGGGCAAGGTCTACAGAAAGGAGCTGGGGTCGAGTGTTGCCCTGGTCGAGTTTGCTGAGTGTTTAAATCGAAGCTTGCTCCCCCGCCAAATACCAGGCAAGGGAGGGCCCTGGACTGTGGTCTGCCTGCCCCAGGCCCCTGATGCTGATTCACAGGATAGACCCAATTGCCCTGCGCAGCCCCAGGGACAAGCAGTGGTTGGCAGGGCGGGTGAGGCAGGAACTGCAGGTCACTCAGGAACTGCAGGGGAGGAGGAAGCTGCGGGGGAGGAGGAAGCTGCAGGGGAGGCGGGAGTCGCAGGTGAGGCAGGAGCTGCAGGTGGGGAAAGATCTGAGGGTCAAGCAGGAGCTGAAGGTGAAGCAGGAGTGTCAGATGAGGAAGGAGCTGCAGGTGACGACGGAACCTCAGGTGAGGCAGGAGTTGCAGGTGAGGAAGGAGCTGCAGGTGAAGCAGGAGCTGCAGGTGAAGCAGGAGCTGAGTCAGATGAGGAAGGAGCTGCAGGTGAGGAAGGAGCTGAAGGTGAGGAAGGAGCTGCAGGGCTGGAAGGAGCTGAGGGTGAAGCAGGAGCTGAGGGTGAAGCAGGAGCTGAAGGTGAAGCAGGAGCTGAGTCAGATGAGGAAGGAGCTGCAGGTTACAGAAATGTTGCAGGCGTGGCAGGACTTCTGAGTATGGCAGGACCCACGGGCGGGGCAATGGCTGCGCCTGAGGAAGCAGTTGTGACAGCGGCAGGCGCCATGGGTGAGGCAGGGCCCGGGACCCAGCAGTGGAGGCAGGCCTCGCAGCCCGTGCTGGACAGCATGGGCTACCAGGAGCTGGGAACCTTCTCTGGGATGGAAGAGCCGGGCCACGGGGAAGGGTCCTCTGAGAGCTGGCTGGAGCAGGCCAGCCACACGCTGCACCTGTGGCGCCACGTGTCTGAGAGGGAGAGGAGGAAGAGGCTGGTGGAGAGCTTGCGCGGCCCCGCGCTGGACCTCCTGCGCGGCCTCCTGGCGGAAGATCCCGAGCTGGCTGCCCAGGACTGCCTGGCCGCGCTGGTGCAGGTGTTTGGGAACAAGGACCCCCGGGGGAGTGCTCGGCTGAAGTTCGTGACCTGTGCCCAGCGGCCCCAGGAGACTCTCTCTGCGTACGTGATGCGCCTGGAAGGCCTGCTGCAGTCGGCCCTGGAGAAGGGGGCCATCCACCCGGCCATGGCGGACCAGGCGCGCGCCCGGCAGGTGCTGACGCGGGCCCGGCTGAACGACACGCTCCGGGACACGCTGAGGAGGAGGCGGCTGATGAGGAGACCTCCCGGCTTTGCGGGGATGCTGCGGCTCATCCAGAAGACCGAGGCCTGGGACGCCGACCCGGCTAGCAGGGAGCACTTCCCAGGGCAGGAAGAGGCCCGTGTGGACGTTGCAGTCCTGGCAGCAGCCGCCCAGGCCGCCCCGGCCCATGAGGCCATCACCGCAGGCACCACTGCACATGGTGAAGATACCACCGCCCAGGCCGCCCGTTCCAAGGAAGGGAGCGCCGAGGACGACCCGGCACGTGAGGAGGCCAGTGCGGCAGTTGCCGGCACTGCCAAGGCTGGCGAGGCGGCCCCTGAAGACCATGGTGCCGCCAGGGCAGCCCCTGAAGGCCATGGTGCCGCCAGGGCAGCCCCTGGCCCTGGGGAGACCAGCAAGGCGTCCGCGGCCACTCAGGAAGATGGAAGTGCTGCCGCCCCTGCGGGCCTAGGTCAGGCAGGACCCTCAGATGCCCCCGG